CTATTAGTATCTTAAACAAGCAATGAGCCATTTCTCTTGATGCAGTTGTAAGGCAACATGGGGAGCACTGACTGACTTCAAACCAAGCCAAGCCTAACAAATAAACTAGTAACTAATACTTTTTCACTGAACTATTTTAAAAATACAGTATGCAGTCCAATGGTGTAGTACAAAAGATGTGGATGAAATTTTAAGTGCCAGTATCTCTCCAGTCAGCCAGTCTGTCTATGCTATTCTCAGTTTCAATAATAAACTTCATACTTAAAGGAATAACTTGACATGTTGGTAAATATACAGATTTGTTTTCTTGCCCAAAGTTAGATGAGAGGATTGATACCACTCTCATATATACAGACCTGAAGCTGCAGCAGCCAGTTAGCTTAGCATAAAGAGTGGAAACAGAAAGTCTGGCTCTATCCAAAGGTTAAAAAATCTCCCTAAAACTCACTTATTAACTAACACATCTTGTTTGTTTAATCCAAACAAAAAACACTGTGTAAAAATAACAAATAGAGGTTTCATGTGGGGTTATGGGCTGGACTGATTGGCTGGGAGCAGTGACTGTGACTTGTGTGCGTCAGATTTTGTTACCTTTGGACAGGGTTTATGTTAAACCTTTCCCCCTGTTTCAAAGCTTTATACTAAGCTAATCTAACCAGCTGCTGGCTCTAGCTTCAAATTTAACAAGCAGGCATAAGAGTGGTATCGATCTTCTTATCTAACACTGTGCAAGAAAGAGAAAAAGCATACGTCAAAATGTGAAACCTTTGCCTTAACTTTAAGGCAACATGGATGAGGAAGTGCTACGGATTAAGTCATACACTGAGCTGGCATTAACAGATTCATTTCCATGACAACTGAACATGAAGACTGTGTTATATGGCTGAAAGGTCTGGGGATGGCCCTAACATAACAATATAAAGGTTACAAGTAAGTATTGTGTGATGTTAGGTGATTGTTGATATGAAGGAAATTACCCCCTGTCTTGCACTTTAAAAACAAGAAGTCCAGTGGATTTGGAAAACCCTGATCTCACACAACTCCTCCAAGGCCAGGAAAGAGTAATAGCTGACTGTAACAGCAACCCAGGTTGAGTCTCTGGGCATGTTCAGACATGTTCTCTGGAAATGTGTAATTTGGGTGGAAATCACATTTTGGTACAGAATGATGGTACAGTCATCAGCTGGCTTCACAAACTCAGTCACATTCATTGTCTACGTAGCAGCTGTATGTAATGAACCTGTCGTCACATGTTTTAATTCAATGTTCTGGCCACCGGAGTGTTGTTCACATTCGGTTTTTAAAGTGTGGCTGGAGGAGAAGCAGCAGTGCTGTCTGTCCCTCAGCCGGCCCAGTCAATATTGGAGCAGCAGGCGTGGGAAGTGATTAAGTGGAAGAGGTTAAACTTGCTCGGCAAGGGTGCGTTTTCCAATGAAACTCAGCAAGTTACCACGGCAACAAGACAATGGAAAATAATCTGTCAGCTCATTTGTCTCTTTGCTGAGGTTTGCTCTGGGGGTTTATCTAGCTAGACTGCAGAAGACTGCAGTAAGAGAAGAAGATAGCACCCATTCCTCCTCATACGGCATCACATACCTCTGCAGCAGTCAGACACATCTGCAGGCACCCACAGACATGAAGGATGTCCACACTGGTGATTAAATTACACCATGGGCACAAAGATATCTGTCTGATGTCTGCGAAATTAAAGGAATAGTTCCACATGATGGGAGATACACTTATCTGCTTTCTTGCCCAGAGTTGATAAGAAGATCAATACCACTCCATTGTCTTTCTATTAAATATCAAGCTATAGCCAGCAGCTGGTTACCTTAGATAAGCGTAAAGAGTGGAAACAGAGAGAAGTCTCTGGTCAGGCTCTGTCCAAAGGTAAATCTGCTAACAACTCTCTATAAAGCTCACGAAATAACATGTTATACATTGTTGTCAACCAAAGTGTAGAAATGACGCATTGCGGTTTATGTGCTGGCCATGATGTCTTGGCCAGGAGCAGTGACTTCCTGGTGCCTCAACACACAACCTACAAAAACAGCAACTTGTTGTTTTATTCTTACATTTGTACCAACTAAATAAACGAGATACGATGTGTTAATTAGTAAGATTTAGAGGTGCTGGTCGGGAGATTTTTTATCTTTGGACAGAGTTAGGCTAGCTGTTTCTCTGTCTTTTGTCTAAATTAAAGTGACCAGCAGCGAGCTGCAGCTTCAGGTTTAATTGACAGGACATGAGAGTAGCATCAATCAAGCAAGCAGTGAGTAAGTGTTTTTCACAAATTGTCAAACTATTCCTTTAAATAACCTTCACAACTGCTATAATTGTGATATAAAATATACAATATCCGCACAATTTCCTTGAGAACAAAAAACAACACAGTACAGGAAACTCCAGCAGGATGTTAGAACATTTTATAGTTACTGTATCTTATTGGATTTGACTGTGCTAAAACTGTGATTCCTGTTTTCCACTGATGTTCTCTATCTCTTTCAGGGTCCCAGGGGTTGTGTAACTGCATGCACTGAGTGCATGTGAACCACCTTCACACAGACAATTCAAACATAAAAGTGCTTAAAGATATCACATTTTCAGAGACAAAGAGCTGGAGGTGCATCTGCAGTTTGCATACCAGCAATATGAGTGCCAGGATATAGACAAGCATAGCGAGTCTTGTTTTCACTAATATTTCTACTAATATTCAGTAATTTACAGTGCTGGTAAGTCACTACTGTAAGTACATTTACTCATAGTACTGTAGTTTAAGGTACTTGAGTTTTTCCATTTTATACTACTTTAGAAATTTTGAGGGAAACATTATATTCTTTACTCCAGTTTTTTCATTTGACAGCTGTACTTTACTACTACTTTTCAGATTATGATTTTACATTTAAAAAAGTATAAAATAAAAAGCAGCGTTCAGGATTAAACCAGTGGTTTCCAACCATTTTGACCTGTTACACTAATAAAAACTGATTCCCCCTCTTCACTTGTTAGAAGTTTCATTTGAATAACTGCACCAAAGAGGTGTATATATTTTACAAAAAAGCAAAGATTGATTAAATAAAAAATACAGATTTATGTTGCAGACCTTTGTTTTTTTTCTCTTCTTCTCTTCCCCGTTTATCATCTAACAACCCTTCACATCTTTTAATCTTGGTGACCCTTCGGAGGAGACCAACCTCTAGTTTAGCCAATCACTAGACTAATACCAGTGTATACAGTAAAGTAGTTAAAACTAGCTCCACTTCTAACAGCTACAAGTGTACAATGCTGCACATTGATGCTTCAGTAATTATCTGCAATGCAGTACATAATATGTCAGTAACAGGGGGGAATTTTGCTGCAGAACGAGTACTTCTGATACATTTAATGATAATACATGTGTACTTTTATTTACAACATGAATGTTTACTTCTAAAGGAAAATTTTTTACAGTGTGGTATTAACACTTATTTAAGTAAAGAATGTGAGCACTTCTTCCGCATCTGGTAATAAACAGCTAGGTGAAATGCACTGATTGAAAACCATGGTAAGCTACAGTGGAAAGGTGTCCATTTCTTGAGACAATTTCATTTAACTGCATTTGTGATTATTATAAAAAAAATAAATAAAATGAACATGCTTCGAGTTCCAGGCTACTTTAAACCACAGAAAGACCATAAAACAGTTCAAATTATGTATGCTTCATTTATGTTTATGTGCCAGAGTTTCCTCCTAAACAGAAAGATGACCAAACCCTCCTCCTGACAGCTGACCACTCAGTCTGGCCTCAGAGAGAGAACAAACTAATCGCTCTGTTAATGCGCCCTCTTAATGGAAAACCTATCGATCAGTCCGTGTACAAGGGCTCTAATTGTATCATATTACAGCCGAAGGACAGAGAGCCAAACAAACATCGCAGGTTAACACCACATATTCGGTTTTTATTACAACGCAACACGAGTTTATAAACGCCTTTAAAAAGTTTTGACACTTCCTGGAAAAAGTTAAAGCGGTGGCACCGGAGCTGGCAACCAACGCCCATGAAAGTAGACACTTTTTTCTTTAAACTGCATTACATTTTTTGCAGATTCATCTTAATGACCCACTTCACTTTATTAAATGGAGCTGCGTTAACAAAGTATGTACGCGTATTTGACGTTTTTAACAGCAATGCGTCAAAAGAGGAAAGAAAAAGCTCGATTATGTAACAAGAGACTGGAATGAAGTCGATGGGAGTTGAATCGATAATTTACTACTAAAGTGTCCCATCACTAACACACAGTTAACCTAAATGTTCCTGTCCACTATGAAGCATTTTGAACAGAAATGGACTCACCTTATAAAGTTTGCGGAAGAAATACACTAACAGACTGTTTTCTTCCTATTGGTCATGTGGCTCTCATATTACAGAGCAGAGGCACACCCAGTTAGATAGAAAAAAAGACTTGGGTGGTGGTGGAGAGAGAGAAAAAAAGTTGTGAGCATAATAGGTTGTTGCTGTGGCGATATTTTTACAGATCAACCTCCACCCATTTAACAAACAATGGAGTTATTAAATCATTATAACTGCTGAAGGAGATTGTTTGAATTTAGAAAGAGTAGAAGAGAAATAGTCAGCTGAACATTACACATAATACTTACTTACAATAATCTTTTTAGTTGGTTGTAACTCAAATAGTGCTTTAAAGTAATGGAGTAATGATTACCAGTGATGACAAGAACATTCATATTTGTTGTTTATTACAAATTAAAGTAAAATATACATAAGTATCTTCATGAAGTGATTGTGGACTATGGATTTTGAAAGTTTTCCCAGCAGCACTATATTGCACCAAAAGCTGCACAAATATTAGAATAGATTTTTCTTTGTACACATTTATATTTAGGGGTGGGCGATACCAATAAAATCTGTTACCACGGTGTATGTCATTTATTTCTTTTGTGATAGGCTATGTACGTTAGATTACTAGATAGATATAATAAATATTCTGGAAAATCAATCAAAGAAATTGGATAAAATGAACAATCTCATATTATGGGAGATAAACTTATCTCCTTTAGTCTGAGGACCTTCTTATCCATGTTGACATATAGAAATATCTCGACATTTTGAAAGTACACTTATTTTAAGATTTATATGATATGAAGCTAGAGACACAAGACAGTTAGCTTAGCTTAGCATAAATCAGCATTAAATTTTGTGCTTGACGGTTCAGTTTTGACGTCCGAAACAGCAGTTGATTAAACAGTTTCAACTCAAGGTCCACTTATTTGCTTGTTCTAGGGCTTTCAAAGGCCAATAATGAACAGTGAAGCTCAAATTATATTATTTTTCTAGATCTAAACTGATAAATCTGGGTACTGCACCACATTAATGCAAAAATCTAATAAAAATCAAATAACGCCATAGAGCTAATTGATTTACAGCATTACCCACAATCGTCCGATACATCCAGAGATCTTAAACAGTCTCTGGCAGCAAACAGGCTAATATCGTCATATCGCCCAACCCTATAACATCCACTGGGGACAGAATCATTATAAGTTTTCGTAGAACATAACAAATCGAAGCTGGCATGGAGATGTAAGGCTCTGAAATTTCTACAACACCTTTAAGCTGCTGTATCATCAACAGAGGAAAGATATAAAATAATAAAAAATCATCACAAATAAATGAAAAAGTTAATCACATACCAGAAACCAGACATAGCGGATTATGCATCAGCGCAGACAATATTTATGAATACATTTCGATATTTAATGGAAATATTTCCAGTTCTCTGGTAAAGACATTCATGAAATTGATTTTTTGTTCACTTCTTCCCGTGTGCAGCTACTCGGGGTGGATACACAGGTAGGCTCTTTTCTGTTTCCCATAGAAGTAACAATCCTCATGGAAGTTGTTGATCTCCACCACCTCCTTGTAATGGCTAACAGCATGGACTAGGCAGTTGGGGAAGCTCTTGTTCAACGACAGAGCCACTCCCATCATGTTCCCCTTCAGCTTCTGGCTCTCAATCTCCTCCTGGATCTGACTCTTGTTAATGGGCTTGGGGTTAACACAGAAAGAGACCACCACTTTGATCTTGTTCTTGGTCAAAATGTCAAACCAGTTGGCTCCTCCACTGCCGTGGTACTTCTTTCCTGCCAGCCAGTTGAAAAAGAAAATGCGCTCCCTGTCGCTAAAAGCCCTGATGGACCAGTTCACCCAGTCATATTTCTTTGCAAGTGAATCTAGAAGGGTTTTGGTGAAGTCTTGGTTGACAGTGCCGGGATTCTCCTGAAGAAGATGCTCCATGTCCAGCTTGGCTTGATCGGCAAAGTTCTCTGTACACTCATCCACAGCCGCTTTCATTCGTTTCTCCACATCCTCCATCTGTTCCTGCCACTTTTTCACCATCTCCTCTCCCACCGCCCCTTCCTTAAGGGCGGCATGGGCCATGACGGCGATAATGCCCACCACAAAGAGCTTTTTCAGCCGGGCGCAGAAATCTTCAACTGCCCTCCTGCTTCTCTGCTCAGTGGTAAGTACTGTTTCCAGCAGAGGGTCTCCTGAAGTGTTCTTCCCAGTGACAGAATTGTAGAGGGCGTCCAAGTTCAAATCGGCATCGGTGTTCTCGTAATGGCTGATGAACTTCTCCATCTTCTTCTCTTTGAACTTTGGCTTGGCATTGACAAAGTCCTGGAACTTTTCATACTGGCTGAGAATCTGTGCCTCTCGATCGAAGTTCTGCTTGTTCATCGACGTCTTCTGCAGCTCCAGGGCAATTTTATCGATCTCATCTTGGATTCCCTCAAGTTGCTGGTTGACCAGTTCGAATTGCTTAGTCAAGTAGCGAGCCTCTTTGCCATCCGGATTGCTGAGTATCTCGGCAGAAGCAACGAACACAGCTTCCAAGACAGGATGAAGCTGGCCCACAGTGGCGGCGAGCACCTCAGAGGCTTGCCCCATGATCTCCACACCTTTCTCAATCTTGTCCCTGTTCTCCACGAGCCAATCTGCCACACTGTTCATCTTTGTATTATGTATTTCACACTAACTAATTTAATTTGATTTCCACAGCGAGAGACTTTGCTGGTGCCTGAAAGAGAAGAAACATGAAACCCTTGTTAATTTTAAAGTTAATTTTAGTGTAATTTTATGACATTTCAGAAAACAATATGGCGCTCATTTTTATTTTTTCAGGTATACACTTATAATCAGCTGACATTTAGCCATTTTTTTCTCACAGGACATTTTCCTGACAAACAAAGCCCTACAATAAAGCAAACGGCAGGTCATGTCAGCACATGTAGGCATCCAGTTTCATGCCGCGCCCTCTCAGAGCCTCAGTTAGTGACAGGGACTCGTTTTTTAAGCCTTGGTGGCATTATATCAAAAAAGCTCATGAAAGTACACAAACCAGACACACATGGATGGCAATGCAGAACAAATATCAAACATGGTGTGTGTACTCATGAATTATGATGTGAAGTATTGTGCAACATTGCAGTACTGGCCCTTTGGGATGCCATTTTTTACTGCTGCAACAATAGCCAAGGCCCAAAGCAAACACAGATGTTCACAACATGGTAATAGAGGGGGATTTGGTAACGATAGTATGGTTTTCGGTGTAAAATACTCAAGAGAGATGACCTAACTCATTTGTCGTTCCCTGGAGACCATGTTCAGTTTAGAAAAAGGCACACCCAGGTCTGAGGGAAGAAAATCCCCACCACTGCACTTGTTCAATAATGCAATCACACTTCCCTCATCATTACCGCCCCAATGTAATCAAAACCAAACAAATATGAAAATCATGTTTTCTTTTGAGGATTTGATATGAAAAAAGACTAATACAAGTTTATACGTGTAACCACAGAACATAAGCTCACCAATAATTGCTGCAGTGATGAGATCAGTGGTGTCATTTTACAGCCTTTCCTATCACTGCACTAATTAGATTTACCTTATTCAGTCACATGCCATCAGTGCTTTTATAATTTGTCCACATTTTTATGTGAACCAGCTGATACAAACAAAAAGTGCACCATTCAAAATTTTAATTTGTAATTACATAACAGAATTCAATTCCATTCTAATGAAGGAAAACATGAAAAACAGTGAAAGTAAATACTTACTGAGTAATTATCTTGGTTTGAGCTTGAAAATATCGTCCCTTGTAAAAACCAAAAAAGAAAAGTCTGTCTTCTTTTAACACAAAAAGTGAAATTTATTTTTGTGAGAAGAAAAAAAGGCGAGTCCCACACAGCACTTGATCAAACACTGGTCTCCCCTTTCAACGTGATATGCTTTGCTACAGAGCTTTTATAGAGGCCACATACGTAAGTCCTTTACAAGACCACATCCCCCAAAGGACTCAGTTTTACTTCTGGCATGTCACTGTAATTTCTCAAGAAAAAAGAGAACTTTTAAGGAAATAGAGTGGAAAAGACCTTTTTAAAAGTTCCCTAAAGCTTCTAATGAAGGTCAGTTTTTTAATAATGATGAGAAAAGCAGAACAAACAAAACTAAATATTGAGATTGTTCTTTTTCCTTCTTTGTTTCTTTCTTTGTTTGTTTCTTTCTTTTGTATTAACATTTTATAAAAAACTACAAATTATGGTAAACTGGTAAAATAGATGGTGGAGATGCTGAATAAAGAATTAGAAGAAAAAAGAAAAACTCACCTTTCTAGCTAAATATCCAGTGGGCTACAGTCCAGTTATCCAGTAGTCCAGCTGTGCCTGTGAGCACCAGCCTCCTTGGGATGTATATATAGTCTCTCTCTCTCTCTCTTATTCTCTCTCTTTCTCTCTCTCTCTCTCAAACGCACACACACACACACACAGAGTTTCTGTCTGTCTGTCTCTCTCTTGTCACTCCCCCTTTGGAACTCCTCCATCCCTTTCCAGCATTCCTCAGAAACCCACTCAGAGAGAGATGAGGGGCCGGCACTGACACAGATAACATCCTGTAAACACTGCCGATGCAGGGACACCATGCACCCTGGGAAAAAAAAAAAAAAAATGATACTGGGTTCTCTCTCTCTCTCTCTGTGTATGTGTGTGTGTGTGTGTGTGAAAGAGAGACAGATAGACAAAGAGAGTGAGAAAGAGAATAAAAAGGAGACCAGTCGCAGTGGGGTTCAGCAAAGCGACCCATCAGGACAAAACCCTTCTTGTTGTGGCTCGAAAAGGGTTGCCATGGCTACTGCACTGGTTCCTCTGACTTCTGTGAGACTGAGCATGCTCAAAACCCAAATTCCGCTCCTTCTGTTTGCAACAAGTTGGGGTTTACACAAAATTAGTAACTTAAATAACAGAATAAAACCTTATTTAAACCTGCTTGCTAAAACTAGTTTCGTGGAAAATACTTTTAAAAAGACAAGTTGATATTTATATTAAGATGATTTTATAAATGTTGACCTACTTCACTCTGAATCTGATAATTAGTGATGGAACGCTATTGGCTACTGGATTCAAGCATTGCAAAAAAAGATGACATTTGCCCTGCAGAGGCACCACTTTCAGAATCAGTCTGTCACAGTGCTGCCCAGTGAAAGACAGTCTGTGTTTCTGAGTACACACCATGACAGTCAGGGCTCACTCATGGCCTTTGTGCTTTATAAAACAGGCTGTGACACACGCAGCCCAATGTCACAGTCAACTATGCTCACAGGAAGAGGAGGGAAGGATGTCTGCAGCAAATTGATGCTGGTCGTCTGGGCAGAGGAGGATTAGGCGAGCACATCCGCCACCGCCTTGTTCCTGTGTCGTCCCACTGTCAGATCTCACACTACTCGCTTGTAACCATCAGAAAGTGGAGAGTAGCTTTCGCAGGGACTCAACAGTATGTGGCGTGATGGGTGGCACAGGCCGATGCTGGTAAACACACACTGTGGAGGCCTGAGCGTAACGTCATTCAGCTGGAGGACCTCGTTGCTCTCTATGGGTGTTGTGCTGTGTGTTTGTTTTCCAGACAAATCTTTCTGAAGATTTGAATTTCTTTCATGTCTGCAAAGAAAATGGTCTGCAAAACACACACACACACACACACACACACACACCAGCCCTAACATTTGGAACTTGTAACTGAACAAACAGCATGTCCTATTAAAAGTAGCTCTGGCTCTATCATCTATGGAAAGTGTTGAATTTGAAGTTTTGCCTTTGTTGTTTGTGGTTTCAGGCTCACCAGGTGGAAACATGGGTGAAATATTTGAGATAATGACAGCCAGCTGAGGAAAGAGGGGCAGAAAGCTTTGTGTGCATCAAGCTGTTTTGTCTAGCTTCACTCAGCATACATCCACTCAGCATGTTTGTTGAACTAAAGGGGGATTTCTTTCATGATTCTGTGTAACACAGAAGTGCTTAAAATTATTACATCCATTTTGATGCACTAATTTATTAGGATAGAGATGGCAATAGTAAAACTACATGCACTAAGATGCTCTGGATCTAACTTTTATTTCTTGCTGATGATCAATATTTGCATGAACAGCACACAAAAAGTCAAGTAATTATGTGTGAATTGCAGCTGTATTGTGTATCTATATTCTGCAAAAATGATGAAGAGAAGCTTTTTAATGTCAACTTTCTGATTTATAATATGTAAAGTTCATGACTGTTTCATCTCATGACAATAAATCTAATAAGAAAACCCAGTAACAGAGGTTGTACCTTCGTTTGTGTCTGAAAGCTGAAATGATAAATGACTTACTTGTCCAAGGAAGCTATTGACCACGTTTTATCTTTTTGACCTTCGCCAGTGGCTAGTGTTTCCTCCTCACCACAAGATGTCTCTTCAGCTCACAGGAAAAGCCTCCAGTGGCTCATCCTATGGCAGAATA